AAAAAAAAAAAAAAAAAAAAAAAAAAAAAATGAAAAAAGGACATCATACCTAGTTGATATCATGTATCTGAACTGCAGGTGAAAGCTTTATTAAATGAAAGACCTCAGTTGTGTGCGCATGTTAAGCAATTGTCAATAACCTCAAAAAAATCACTCTTGAACGAGATTTGAGCCCATGACCCATGACATATAGTAAAGAAATTAGTTTTTCTTAAATTTATTTGCAGAAGAAGCCCGTGGGATATGCCGTTTTCCATGGCAAGTAACAGGTCGGATTAGAGTTGGAGGTTCTTCTGGTACAATATTCACTCCCGACTATCCTGTCCCATACCAGGATTACACAACCTGTGGTTGGTTGATTTACACTCCTGATGGAAAAAGAGTGAAATTAACGTTTACTGATTTTGAACTTGGCAAAATCGTTGTTGATGCAAAGGACAATTTCTGTAATCGTAAATCTGACATGGACCATGTTGAAATTTCCGAGGGCAACTGGTTTGGAAATAAACCTCGAGGTAGTTACTGTGGAAAAAAGAGGCCCTTTGATGTTTATTCCTCTGGACGTCTCATGTGGGTTAATTTCCGTGCCAGCCGGGATGGTGTGCAAGCAAACAAAGGTTTTAAAGCGCATTTTGAAGCCGTTGATCTGCGTAAGTTTACAGCTGCTTTAACAATTAACTAATGTAACTATGCAGCTTATGTTTAAGCCACGCTGACCGTCCTTGCTCTCACAAGTCTTAAATAGCTCAGATGTAGAGCAACTCGACCAGAACTCGGAATTCTTTTTCCAAGTATGCCTGTGTCACTGAAACGAATCAATGTTTCAATGGCACTTTTCGGTGAACTTCATTTAAGTTAGTCTGTGACTGAGTCCGTTTGTCTATTTGTGTAACTAGTAAGAGTATTTCTGATAGGAAGCGTTAGGTTTGGAACTAAAATATATTCTCCTTTCGTTCCATGCACGAGAATAACAATCCACTATTCTTTAGCTTACTATGTCTTTCAATAACACACGATCTCTGCTCATTTCATGGGTGCATTTTCGCTGCCATCATAGATCCCTCCCCCTGGAGGTACTCCCTCGTATGGGCTATATAGGTTTGTGCAGCCCCAAAGTGTATGGTTTTCTAACCGTTTTGTTCAGAAATAGGGTACCAAGTTTGGTCATTTTGGTTATAAATAGGGTATAGTCTTTGCGCTCTAGCCTTGATTTAGTTGTGTTTCTTAGAAGAAGATAATTTTTCATCATTATCGACAAGACCATAAACTAAAGAGATACAGTTTTTCATCACATTTCGGAACGCTGAGCGGAGAAGGCGTTAAATATACAACGAGCATCGGTTCTTTTGGACGCGCAAATTACCAGGTGTTTGGAAATGTAATGAAACACTGTCTCGAATGTTTGGTATTGTATGCCATCATATCTACTGAACGAAAACTGGAAGAGAAAAAAGAAAAAAAAAATTGAAAAACTACGCTAATATAATGAACACGTGTTCAACCCACCTGACCAGCACCCCTATTTTGGGTATTGGAATTGATAGTTTAAAATTGCTACGTCAGGATATGCCAAATTAATTTCTGCGTTGCAAAGAATTCCCTTACAAATCGCAAATAATATTTTCCTTACATAGAAAAAGACTAAAGAGTTAAAGACACGGTAAACATTACGAAAGATAAACTTGAGAGAAACTTCACTTTTACATTTTCAGCTTCTGACGTTGTCCTTTGAAAGTTGCGATTTATACCCTCTTCCTTAAAGTTCGCCGATCTAGCTACATCATGGTTACCACAGACATTCGTTTTCAAAATTCCCTAACTTTTCCCCGAAAAAAAAATTCCCTGACCAAATAAATTCAAACTGTGAGATAAAGTAGCTCCCTTCAGCCTCTACTTACAGCTCTCCTTTCCACCCATTTGTTTGGGACTGATTGGTTTTCAACAAATTGGTCCTCTTCATCTAGGAAAAACATCGTTATATTCACAGTGACCAAAATGTTCTTCCAGCCTTTAGTGGTACTAAATCACCGGTTTTATAATTTCAGTTCTGCCGGACCTTCCTCCAAAATATCGCTTTCCCTGATTCGAAGTAAAATTCCCTGACTTTCCCCTGACCTTGGAGAATCGTATGACGAGACCTAGGGTTGTGGTAACTCTACTACATTAATCGTATATGTACATTTGTTCTTAGTTTACGATGAGGAGCATTGTCTACCAGGAAACGCCAACAATCTGAATCTGAAGTTAACTGGTTCGTATGGAACTCTACAAAACCCTGAGTACTACCCCCCGCAACTGTACTGTGAATGGCTCATCACTGTACCAAAGGGGAACATTGTAGAGCTCAGCTTTGAAAGACTTGACTTGGATTTTCAAACAAGTGAGTTTGCAAGTTCATGTGGGGATTACGTGCATATTCATGATGGGAACTACTGGGAAAGTGATACCATGGGTACTTTCTGTGGTAATGTAATTCCAAAGCCACTGAAGTCAATCGGTCGGTATATGTACATTAGTTTCCACGCTGACGTTTTGTACGATACACCACGCCGGGGATACAAGGCCACATTCAAAGCTGTGACGAAGCAATTCTGTAAGTTGGCTATGTTAAAAGTTAGGTAATATATTAAGCAATTAGATTATGAGCTCGAGATTTCTGTCGCGTGATAGTTGAAATCAAGAGAGCGAATAATCTCATTGTTTTAGTGTAAATCTACTAGTCTTCAAAACAACATCTACATCCTCTACACAGGCATTTCGAAAATACCAAGAAACGGCTGTCACTTTGTTACAAGCGCACTGCTACACTCCGCACTATCTATCACAGAATAGATAGTGAGTAGCGTAGCCAATCAGAGATCAGCATTCGTGATAGAACGCTAGCAGATTTATACTACTGATACTGACTAGCATGCTATCACATTTTCGCAATAAGCAACTTATAATCGGTTTAAGCCCCTACGGAGAGTTGGAAGTATGGCCTGGATTTTGAAAGGCTCTTCTTTCTAATCCATTTTATCCGATTTTTATTATAAGTTAACTACAACAGCTACAACTGACGGACCCCGAGGTTTGGTTTACTCTTGCTGACCTCCTCAAATCAGATCGTTGTCTAGGGTGTCATTACGGTCAGGGATCAAATCCACGAATATCCATGAGTGCTCTCTTTGTCAATATGAATAATATAATAATAGAGAGATTAAGCCTGACGTTACGGTAAAACGGCAAACGGCAAAAATGAACCTTTTTTCCTCTGTCTTCAGCTGTATGTACAAAAGAGTGAAATTATTTGTATTTGCGGTGAACGGTAGGAGACGTTATTCTATTTATTCTGTTCTGTTCTTTTTTTTTTCACGGATTAGAATAAAAGAACACAAAATCAGAAGTCATCTTTGCCGTTTGGCGTCTGCTGTAAACGTCATGCTTAAACTCACTCATGTTCTAACGGAAGAAACGGCAGCCTATTCTACAGATTCCTGTCATGTTTTGAGACAGTCCCTTATTGTAATTCTCTCAATATGCACATGCTATGTTTTCTAAACCTACCACCCCCTGATTATCCATACCCATTAGAGCCACCACCCCCCTACCCTGGGAAAGAAGGAGAACCACAGTATCCACCCCCTGGTCAACCATATCCATGGCAACAGAGTAGTGGCAATGCACCTGTCACTGAGAGTCCATGAGCTGCGGGATCAGCTTCCAAACACAGAAAGATTTCGCTGTTTCACCTCTTGGGTTTCTAATTAGATCAGCGCTAGACTGGTCCGCCTAGACTAGCCTCTGTCAGCTATCCGCGGGCCAGTCTAACTGTAAAAACAAAAAATAAGACATGAAAAATAAAAATTTAAAATTAAAATGTAGGAACCAAAATAAAGATTATTGTTATTGTAGAGATTGTTGATTGTTGTTGTTGTTGTTGTTGTTGTTGTTGTTATTGTTGTAAGGGGCCGAATTAATTACGACCATCTCGTTTGCAAGCTACTGATAGCAGAAAAAACTGACCCGAGTTCACCCGCACTGCTTGGCGATTTTTCTGATTGACAAGAACAGTTAACGTCCTCAAAACCAAGGAGAAACCTTAGCTTTAAGAAAGATCGAAATTTCAACTCTTGTTGCCTGACCTTTGAACTGACTGTAACGCACCGCGCCTTCCGAAAGCGACAAATCGATGAACATATAAACAGGATGTTAACCGGAGCCCCAATCACTATAAACTTGCAGTTTGTTCTACACGACGGACAAAAACTGAGACCAGGGAAAAGAGGATCGATTGAGTTTGTTTTTCTATGTAGCGTGACGTTAAAAATAGAATTTTCGCGGGAAAATTCAGCCTGCGTAATGGTCACAGCTTAAATATTATATCCTGTGGTACAACTAACTATCAGGAGCCCCTGTAACTATCTTAATTGGATCTTTCAGTAAATAATGGAGAAGAGCCACACAAAGTCGGACAGTAAAGTAACATTCTTCGCTAAAAATTTGGCGGGAAATATTTATGACTGAAGATTTTCATTGGACATTTGCGAGACCATTTACTTCGCTTTGCCTGTAGACACCAATGTTAACTAAACTGGATATTGATAACAGGGAAAAAGGCTATCGGAAAAATGTTTTTCTGTGCAAGTAAACTGCGGCACTTTTGAAAACCAACTCGCTGAATATGGCTAACATCTGGGTTCCATTCATTAACGATCAGGAGGCAATATTTGGCACCTCGTGAGAATTACAGTGAAAGACCTCTAATATACCTCAGTTGGCTGATAAGGGAACAAATATTATCGCACAAAAATAAGATTTTCTGGAAAATGTACGAAGTATCTTTGAGGCTCACCCAAAGTTTCCCAAAATTTCAGCCATTTTAGACTGCTTGAGCTGCTTGAGAGGCCAAAATCATGATGTAGTGATATCGCGAAGAAAAACGAAGGCCTGCCTCGGTAAATGTCATGGTTGTTAATCTTTTCGGATATCTTTTAAACTGTGAAAAGATGTAGGTAAACGGGCGACTTCGATCTTTTGGTTCTACCCGGTTTTCTCTGACAAATTATTGTCAGAGAATATTACTTTACTTTTTTTGGCTGTTGTCTATTATTTAATTAAAGATCCCCTTAATGAAAGGATTTCAAGTCGATCCTGCGCCCTAACCACTCGGCCACGCTGCCTCCTCATTTTTCTTGGCTAAGATGAAAAAGACTTAGTATGTCATTTCATTTCTGTAGGACAGTAGCGTTTTGACTGCCGCTCGTACCGCAGGTGCAGCTGCTGTATACGAGGTGCCCTGTCTGGTCCTGCTTACCATCTCGACCATTTCATTTGATTGGAATTTTTTTCTTACTTCCCCAAGTTTTCTCCGTCTCAGGAATCCCACTCCGCATCAACTTCTCTCCTACAACCCTCAGGAGTATTCACCCCCGTTAACTCCCGAGTACCCCTATCCGGGTTCCTAATGGTTTTGTTACTACATCGGATTGCGTAACCCATGCAGTTGTAAAGCTACATATTACCACACCTTGTTGATATTGCTGTGGTTGTTGATGATTATCCGATGGGATTAACATAGGCAAAATAAACATTTCCAAGGCACCTTGTGGATCAGTCTAACAAGCAACAGCAAGCGCTGTTTTATTTCCTAGCAGTTTAATTTTCTTTGCTCTTTTCGTCAGGCAATTTCCCAGCGAAAATTCCAAGCCGTATGCGCTGTCTCAAGCCAACATGTGTAAAACAGAATCACCATAAGTGATGTCGGTGATTTTATTGAGCTCCATAACTTCAGATCGTAATAAGTCTGCGTTCGAACCTAGTGGCTCGTCAGGCCAGCGATAGGGGTATTTATACTCCCCCTTGGAAGGGATGCTAGTCCATCGCAGGGTTACCCCTAGCATTAAGGACGCCGACGTTCGCGCGAAAATGTTCCAGTCGACAGATTTTTTAAAAATTTTTTTACAACAGTCAGATAATGAGTTACTTGTGTCACCGACTTCGTTTCAGAGATGAAGCGTGTGGAAAACTAGTATGTGTGGAAAACTTGGCGCGCGTAAATCAGCATCGTCTCCAGGGTTTTTAGCTTAAAAAATCAAAGATGAATCAACGGAGACAACTATCCCAATAATGTATTGTATAAGTGAATCCGTTGCGTTAATAATTCCAAATGTTTTCAACGTTTTCACAAAACTTAACCCTTCAAGAGGCATTTGAAATCGTTGGACAGGTAAACGAAGAGCTAAAAAGAACGGAATTTGATGGTACATTTTGCAAAAAATTCAAACTTCTAATTGATAGATTTTCTTACTTTTTTCGCTAAACGTAGAAAATCGGTAGAGAAAACGATCCATCAAAAGATAAATAGGGTTCACCGAATGTCCAAGATCGTTAAATCCAGGAAAAGCTATAGCAATGGTCATCTGCCCTATGATTGTTCATTATTACTTGGTGCTCGCTCGATGCATGACGTGGTGTGTGAATTTGCGTGCGCAATAAGGATGCGCAGAAACAATTAGCGCGAACGTTCTGAAGGCGCTGAGCGTCCTGTGCGAGTAAGTTGTCTTACCCAAGAACACGACACTATGGCCCCGCTCCAACCCGAAACCGCTCGATCTGGCGTCCTGCATCGAACTAATCATTTGAAAACCAAAACAATTCGCGATCCATTTGCCAAAGAGAATTCCAGACTGTTTGTTAAGGTGAAAACTTTAATATTATCTACATCTACATTTATTTAGTTGATAAAGTCCCGCAAGACATCACATCAACTGTACCAAACATATATGCACATATGCATAAGCTAGANGCATCCTATACTTAAAAGCATGGCTGTTGCGTGTTCTTTTTTCACTGTTTAGTATTAAGTGTTCTTCTGTGGTTATGTCCATTAAGTTATGACTAAGTTATACCAAATTCGTTGCAAGATACTATAAAAATCATACATTAAAAACATTGACTGATATTTGTCCTTGTGCATATTAAAAAAAGTCGTCCTTTAAAAAGGAGTTCATCATTTGATAATACTGCGACACAATTTACACATCAACAGATGTGTTTAAAGCTCTACCTAAACACTCCATCATCGAGAAAAGCCTTTATCATTTGTTGAGTTAATCCTAACTGAGGCCTTCATAAATAATAGCCATTTTATTTTTTTCCTAATGGTTACTTTTACTTTTTGTTCGACTCAATAAGCGCCACACATCACTTAGAATTCAACCTGTAGATGCGTGTGTCCTAAAGAGTTCATTATTCTTTACACTACACTATTCTATGTACGTGTTAGAACTTTACATAAAATATGTATGACTGGATTTATATAAACCGTGTCAATGAAAAATGACATTCACCAAATGACCCACGCACTTTGATTTCACGACTCCCCTAGAGTCAGAGAGAGTGGAGAAAAAAAAAAAAAAAAAAAAAAAANATAAAACAGATAACATACTATACAAAAAGAAAGGTGAAAATGGATGGTCAACAAAAGAGACATTAATCCCCATGCAAGGCACACCACCTTAAAGGAGAAGAAAAAAGAAAAGAAAAAAAAGAAAACAACACTTAGAAAGACTTGGAAAACAGCGCGAGATTCTTCTTAACACTGTTTTCATAAATCCTGACATATGTACTTAGCTTCGAATACCCTTTATTTACAATTCACTTAGGTTTCGTTAATGTGGTCGTAAAGAAGGTACGTTCTAAAAATGAACCAGTTCTTACGCACGATTATTGCTATGTTAGCCCTTTGCATTTTAAAAACCATCAAATTCTGATGCTTTTCGATGGTTTAGTTTCGGACGGGGGAGGGGTGGGTGGTGGGGGTTATTTGGCGGGACTTCTGTGCCTAAAAAACTAGGTATACGGTGCATCTAGAATGCCTTGTAGTAACTTGCGTCACAACAAACTCCAAAAACATGTTGAAACACATGCTAAACGAGTTCTAATTGCCGTTAAAAAACGTGAAAATTCCCCGATTGCATAAACCGTATCAAATACAAAACGATTTCTTTTTATATATTTGGTTATTATCGTAATTTTACGATAAAAAATTCCAACTTTATATCAATAATGAATCAAAGTTGGCACTCGCTAAAGAGACGGTCGTTTTGTTGGTTTCTGTAAGCGAAACCTTATCTACAAAGCAACTAAACATTCCGCGTAAACCTCAAACTTTGATAATCGCAGAACCAGCTTTCTCCATAAACTACCAGCATTATAATGAAACGCGCTGGTAGTGCAACATTTTACAGAAGTTGCTCTTGCGCAGACACAAGGGGATAATTTTCTTGGTTCTCTTCTTGCCAGTGATACACATTTTCTTGCGATGTATACTGTGGAGGGCTCTCCTCTCCATGGTAGGGTGGAGGAGACTCCGTCGGATATGTGTACGGAGGGGGTGGCTCTGATGTGTATGTCGTCACATGAGTTGATGGTGTAGCATAATCCAATGTTTCTGAGGGTGGGTATGAACTAACGCCATTGGGTTGGAAGTGTGCTTCAGGGGGAGGGGGGTAAGGATCTTGGAAAGGCGTCAAAGCAGTTGACGAAGACACTGATTCAGAGGAGGCCTGGTGCCTTGCGTTCGCTGCTCTCTTTGCTTTCCTGCAGCGTATAATCGCACAGGTGATAACAAAGCAGAGTAAAAATACCACAGTCGCACCACCAGCGAAGCCGATGATCTTTGCATCTTGAAGAAAATTAAGGATTAGACATTAGAAATTAGCCGGCGTCGCATACGATTGCTTTAAATACAACCTGAAGCTTAGGGCCTCCAGACTAGACACTTAGTTCTCGACAACTCAGTCAGGTCAGAGAGAGCTTGGGAAATAACGTTCACTACGCACGAGAGTACACCAAACTGTCCCATTCCGGGCTGACCCGTGCAATCCCAGGTCCACTTATATTAATAATTCCCCTCACTATGAACTCATTATATAGCAGTTTTCACTGGAGTGTCGAAAGTTATTCGCATTTCCTTTGGGTTTGTATTACCAAACTGGTGCTACTTCTTGACATCCACTCAGGAGTAAAACCAAGCGCAAGCGTGGGTTGAATTGCTCGCATACGTTCTGTAGCGCGTTTCGTCAGCTTCATGTCTTAGGCCTCGTCCACATTATGCCGGAGGAATGTGATAATGCAGCTTTATTTCTTCGGCTAGGCCTTCCATCCACACTAATCCGTCACGAAAACGGAGCTTTTGGAAAACGCTCTTCAAACCGGAGGAATTTGAAAACGCCGGCTTTTCATTTTCGTGTGGACAGAAAACAGTTTGAAAACGAAGCATGTAACTTCCCTGTCCGAGTTTTTTCAAACTGACAAATCCAAAATGAGCGATGACTGTTGCGCTTTTAAATTCCTCCGGCGTAGTGTGGACGGAAAACATTTGATGCTTTTTCAGAGTGAAACCTCCGTTTTTAAATTCTTCAAGTGTAGTATAGACGGCGCCTTAGGGGGCTTTAACAAACCACGACGGCAACGCCAACGAGAACGTCGCCAAACAAAACGTTTAACGAGCAAAACAATGGCTATGCACGCGCGCTTTGAATCTTGGTACATTTCTTACTCATCATCTGCAAAACGACGTAAAATGACCAAGTTCTACGTATTTTGGAGAACCTAATTTTTTCGTATCTCCTTTTGGAATTGAATGCTCGCTGTCATAACACATTTAGCCTGGGCACGTTTTTAGACGGCCGATAACTGAGCGTCCTCAACAGGTCTACACAGTTGCGACATTCGAAAGTAAAATATAAATCAGCTTTTTCAAGGCTTCGTCCTCGGCGTTATCGTCGTCATTGCTAAAGCTCCCTATTAACTTCGAGTTTTGATTGGTTCATTAAATTGTCCGTTTCCCTTGTAATTGGGCAGAGTTATTAATTTGGTTTTAGTTTCACGACACTCAGTTGAAAACCGCTTTGTATACGTGAACGAAAGAAGGGTTACACTTACTGGGATTGAAATCTTCAAAATGCGCTTTAAATCCATAATTGTCATTATTATCTCCGTCAGAATGGAACTGAACAACCATGTATCGACCGCTGGAGTAGATTTCTTCGCGTAGTTTTGAGGAGGAACCACATAAAGTCTTCTTCAAAACACTAGTGGGGTGCAATCCATCATACACTTTTACATAGTCTTTATCGCAATTTTCTGACCACTCGACATCAAAGTCTTGGAAGTTGAGTTTCATCCGCTTTCCTTCCGGCACGGTTATAACCCAAAGACAAGTCATAAAATTCGGGTACTTCAATGGGTAGCGAGGGCTTTCAAAAGTTCCTGACCAGCCTTCCAGTCGAAGGTTGTTGTTTTCGGTGTTGCCAAGGAAGCACTTCTTGTTGTCCCTGACTTAAGTAAAGACAGGCACGAGAACATCAGACAGCAATACAGGTATGTTAATGATTTTGACAAATTAAATTCAAACTTGAATCCAAGGCACTTGCGTTAAGGTTGAGGGGTGAACATAAAAGTTTATCTTGGGTACTGGAGGTTTTTTCTCGCGGAAATGTGGCAGGATGCTTTGGGTAGGCCTAAGGTGGGGGTGGGAGAGAGGGGGTAGGGTTAGGTTCCAGCTCTAGCTCCCCTAGGGCGATCGATATTTAGGCAGATACTAGGAGCACTTGCATTATAGATCATTATAGACCAAGGGAAATTAAGCTTGTTGTTGTTGTTGTTAAGCTTCGGGGCTAAGATAGAACCTTATCCCGTATTATTGAAGACTTGATCATTAAATAATGCGTTCAGGAGTTTCCATTGGCTTAGCCATCATGGTATATGAGCCATTATAGCATGCTCTAGTCCTACAGGCCTGTAGGTGAATAGATTTTTAATCTTATATTTAAATCTTAGAATATTTCAGTTATTTGTTGAAGTTATTATCCCAATTCAGTTCTTTTTACTTTTACTCTATGTGTTATACCTGCAAACTAGCTGGTGAGATTGCCCTCCCAAAAAACTTGACTTGACTTGACTTGACTTGACTTGCTCTACAAATAATGGTAAGCACACGCGCTGCTTTTGGAGGCGTTTTTATTTTACTGTAGTTTAGTTTTCTATATGTTGTGGGTGTTTTTAATAACAACAGTAATTCCACTCACAAATGTTGGATGTGAGATAATTATAGCCAACTCGGTGCTACACGTATTGCCCCTCATTGGCTATCCACCATGGCATATCCAACGCATGCTCGTGGAATAATTGTTCATTATCTGCACTGCATGAACAAAAGCACCACAGTGCAGTTCGGGTGCACATTTTCAAACATTTCTTGTATTTGTGTTGCCCTGACCTCGACTTGGTGCCAGAATTTGTTGGAACATGGAAGAGGTCTTTGGATGTACTAAAGCCACTTTTAAAATATAGCAACAAGCTTTTGCATAATCTATACCAAAAATGTTTGACATTCTACAGGGGTTAGGGAGTTGACTTTAAAGAGACTTTCAGTTCATCAGCTACAAAAGTCATGTACTGTACTTGTATGGTTCTATGTATAGCCTTAGTGCGTAGCTGGCAGTTTCGGTCAAGTTTATTTTTTGGTGGGCTTTTACAGGAATGAGTGGCGAAGCTGCAAGAAGAGTAGCTCCTCTATGGTGTGCCATGAAAGTCATGCACCGAAAACCGCCAGCTAGGCTAGTATGCACATGAATAGGGCAAACCTACCTGCAGGTACAGCAAAGTAACTCAGTTTGAAGCCTCTATAGTTAAATTCTGCATTAGTGACAAATCTTAATGTCAAGTGTCTCCCAGTTGAAAAAACTTTTGTGTCTGGGCCAATGAACCCGCAGAATGAGCCAATGACGTCAGACCCTGAATGTGGCAGGCCATCATAGACTGCTAGATAATCACTACTGCAGCTCTGCATGTTGTCTGATTCGAGTCTGAAATCTTCAAACGTAACCTCCACAACATAGTCGCTGAGCTGGCGAGTTTCGATAGTCCAGGAACAAATTGTCTCACTGTCATAATCACTGGGATAGTTAGGACTTGTCAGAGTTTTAATGGTGGAGGATTCTGCTACGAGAGTTTGTCCCAAACTTGAACAAGCTTTAAAAAAGAATAATGAAGTAAAAAATAATAATAATTAATAACATTCAGGGTTTGTAGCATTTATTTAACACTTCAGGAATGCCAAGATGAAGCAGGACTGTCAATAAGGGGCATAACCTTTAACACCTGTTACAGCCGAGTATGCTTGATGGGCCCATGATGTTAAGGGTGAACTTGCCTGTTGTTGGTACAATTCACCCATAAAGTAACAGGTTTGCTACGGGTGTGAAGATCAAGGCTACAGCTGGTGAATCAGAACCAATGAAAGCCCTGTAAAGTTAACCCCAACCCAAAGAGCATTTTCTATTCAACAGGAACATTCCCTTGAGCTACCAGATTTACAAAATGTGTGCTCCAAGCGCCAATTAAAATTGAATTTTTATAATAGGATGGGGTCAACTAGAAAGAGTAAAGTACATGTAACAAAGTGTTCAATTATCAATTAATAATTGTCTTTTTTATCCACCAATAATTTCACAAAATTAATGTATCTTAAGGAATTTTACATAGATGGGGAATTTGACACCAGAGGAGTGTGGTGAACAAGTCAGCTATGCAAAATGGAACAAGCTGTGTGGTCATTTGATATAGAATATTAAATTAAAGAGGAAGTCAAAGGACCTCAATTGAAAAAGATTGGTTACGTTAGCTACAGTATGGTGTTGTTCCTTTAGAAGTAGAAGTACAGCCTGTTGTACTGAGAAATGCTGGAAACTATTGCCAGCCACCTTTCTCATACAGCAAAATAACTAAATGTAACAAAGGAAAGATGTCCATCAAACATACATGTACTAATTGGTAAAAACTTTTAAAAGAACTCAGGATCATGTGTACAAAGACATCCACAGTAGAGTGTCGAACAATATC